GGGGGGGGGGGGGGGGGGGAGGCGAGCAAGGAGAAGCAGCAGCAGCAGCAGCAGCAGCAGCAGCAGCAGCGCGCGGCCGAGGTTCCTCTTGAGGAGGCGCGGGCGCGGAGAGCTATTGCGCTGCTGCTGCTGCTGCTGCTGCTGCAGCAGCAGATGCCCGCGTCTTCGATGCCGCCAGGTGAATCCACAGGTCCCCGAGACCGTCGGGCAGCAGCAGCAACTACTGCGCCCTCCCAGCAGAAACGCGCGGCTGCTGCTGCTGCTGCTGCTGCTGCTGCTGCTCATGCAGCAGCAGCTGCAGCAACAGCCCCCGCAGCCGCTCCTGCACTGCACATCTTGTAGCGCACCGACGCCTTAGCGCTGGCGCCAGCAAAGCGCTGCGCAGCAGCAGCTGCTGCTGCACATGTCGCGCAGCAGCAGCAGTAGGCTCGCAGCAGCAGCAGCAGGTCACCAAGCGCCGCCGCCAGCAGCAGCAGCAGCAGCAGCAGCAGCAGGTGTTGTGTCTTAGTCGACGCCCCACGTAGTCGCTTTTTTCCCCTCTTCTTTAGTCAGCCGTGCTGGAGTGTACACTGCAGCAGCAGCAGCGCCACGCTGCTGCTGCTGCTGCTGCTGCCCGTGCTGCTCTTGCTGCAGCAGCAGCAGCAGCACTGCAGCAGCAGCAACTTTTTGTCAGGTCCCCAACCTTCAGTTTTGGCCTTCTTCTTAAACCACAGAGAACCAAAGAGCACCGTCACCAATACCCCTCAACGAGGGTTTAGGGTTTAGGGTTTAGGGTTTAGGGTTTTGGCTCTCCGTGTTTTCTTCGCTGTGAGTTTTCGCCTCGCTTCATTAAATTGCTTCCCATTTACTTTTTATTTTTATGATTTGCAATTAATTGCAATTATAAATATTCAATTCTTAAATTCCTTTTTATTTCCATCTTCATCTTTTTCAAAGTCAATTCTTCCTCGTTTTCCATTTTCTTTTCATTTTCTCTCTTTTTTTTATTTTTATTTATTTCTTTTATTTATTTTTATTTCTTTTTATTGTTTATTTCACCTTTTTTGTTATTTTAATTTCATTTTCTTCATTACTTTAGCAGCATTTGGCGGTGGTCAATTTTACAAGACAAAAAAATAAATCAAAATTAAATTCATTTCGGAATTAAATGAAAGTGAATTCGTTTCAAGAATTCATTCTCTGTAAGTCCCACAGAAGCAAACGAACAAACAAAGCTAATTGCTGCTGCTGCTGCTGCTGCTGCTGCAGCAGAGCTGCTGCTGGCGCTACTGCTACTGCTGGTGCTGCTGCTACTGCTGCTGCTACTGCTGCTACTGCTGCTGCTGCTGTTGCTGCTGCTACGAAAGGTTTCTTCTATGTCTGGAAATAAAGCAGCAGCAGCTGCTGCAGAAGCACGTGCAGCTGCTCTTGTTGATGCCGCTGCTTTTACTGCTGCTGCTGCTGCTGCTGCTGTTGCTGCTGCTGCCACCGCTACTGCTGCTGTTCTTGTTGCTGCGATTGTTCTTGTTGCTGCCGCTGCTCTTGCTGCTGCTGGTGGTGCTTATGCGGCTGGTTTTGCTGCTACTGGTGCTGCTACTGCAGCTGCTCTTGCTACTGTTGCTGCTGCTGCTGCTGCTGCTGCTGCTACTGCGGCTGCTCTTGCTGCTACTGCCACTGCTACGGCGGCTGCTCGTACTGCTGCTGCTACTACTGTGGCTGCTCTTGCTCATGCTGCTACTACTGCTTCGGTTGCTTCTGCTGCTGAAGCTACAAGGCCTGCTTTGACCCGTTGTCTGCTGCTGCTGCTGCTGCAGCAGCTGCTGCTGCTGTGTTGCCTCTGCACGAGCCGGAGGGACCGCCAGCTGAGTCCAGCTCTTTTGGCAGCAGCGCCTCAACCCAACTTCTAAAGCTGCTGCTGCATGCTGCAGCACGAGCTGCAGCAGCAGCAGCAGCAGCAGCTGCTGCTGCTGCTGACCAGACCCAGGCGGCCCATGGGGCCCCCCAGGATAGGGCTCGTTGCTGCTGAGCAATGTTTAGTTCTCCAAAGAAAAAAACAAAACAAATTAATAATAAATGTTAATTCATAAGGATGAAATGTATCCTGTGCTGCTGGAATAGCACTTGCGTGCTGCAGCAACGCCCTGCTGCTGCTGCTGCTGCTGCAGCTGCTGCTGCCGCTGCAGCCCTTTGAAACTAATACAAAAGCCCGTTAGTGGACGATCTAGCAGTTAAAGCAGACACTGAGCGCGTACACTGTTGCTGCTGCTGCTGCTGCCGCTGCAGCGGCGTCTCTGGCAGCAGCAACAGCTGCGGCAGCAGCAGCAGCAGCAGACAACGGGTCAAAGCAGGCCTTGTAGCTTCATAAGAGCAGCAGCCGCCGCAGCAGCAGGCACAGCCACAGGAGCCACAACAGCAATAGCAGCAGGAAAAGCGACACAGCAGCAGCAGCAGCCGCAGAGGCGGCAGCGCTGCAAAAGCAGCAGCAGGAAAGGCTGCAGCAGCATCAGCAGGAAAGCCAGCAGCGGCAGCAGGAACCGCAGCAGCAGCAGCAGCAGCAGCAGCGTCCTCTAAAGCTGACGCGGGATGGAGGCGCCGCTGCACGAGGCCCACGCGGCCCCCCAGGAACAGCAGCTGCAGCAGGAGGCTGCGCATGGGCAGCAGCAGCAGCAGCAACAGCAGCAGCAGCAGCAGCAGCAGTTGCGGCTGGAGAGCGATTTAGAAGGCGGGGGCCATGCCGAAGGCCACGTGCCGCTGCTGAGCTCTCGGCCGCAGCAGCAGCAGCCGACTTTGCTGCAGCAACGGCAGCGGCAGCATCATCGGCACAACCGCGCAGCAGCAGCAGCAGCAGCAACAGCAGCAGCAGGAAGCTACTGGCTGCAGCTCAGGGTTTGGTGCACCCTTACAATGCATGCAGTGAATATCTTTCTGCACTCCCTCAACGCCCTGCTGCTCTTCAGGACGTAGGCTGCTGCTGCCGCTCTTGCTGCTGCTGCTGCTGTTGCTGCTGTTGCTGTTGTTGCTGCTGCTGCTGTTGGTACTGCTGCTGTGCTGCTGGTGCTGCTCGGCTGCTTTTCCGGCTGCCGCTGGTGCTTTTGCTTGCTGCTGCAGGCGCATTCGGTGGCTGCTTCTCGCGCTCACGCTGCTGCTGCTGCTGCTGTTCCCGCTGCTGCTGCTGCTGCTGCTGCTGCTGCTTGCAGGGGCGTCGTGGGGACTTCTCTTTTAGTCTTGTCTCTTCAGTCTCTTTCTTCTTTTCATCTTTCCATAATTTACCTCGCAGACCGGCAGCCCCTTAAGGCAGCAGCAGCGCTTCTCGGGCTCAGCCTCTTCCTGGAGGTCTGCTGCTGCTGCTGCTGCTGCTGCTGCTGCTGCTGCTGCTGTTGCTGCTGCTGCTGTTGCTGCTGGGTTTTCTGTTGCCGCTTCTGTCCGCGGGCGCAGGGCTGCTTTGTCTCATGCTGCTGCTGCTGGCGCTGCTGCTGCTGGTGCTGCTTCTGTCCGCGGGCGTAGAGCTGCTGCGTTTTGTGCTGCTGCTGCTGCTGGGCGTTCTGCTGCTGCTGCCGCCGCCGCTGTGTCCGGCACTGGTTCTGCTGCGTTTAGTTGGCAGTGGAACTGCGGCTGCTGCTGTTGCTGCTGCTGCTGCTGCTGCTGCTGCTGCTGTGTGCGGCGGCGGAAGGCGGTGCTTGCTGCGTGCGCATGCGTGCGTGCAGACAAAGGCGTTTGCTGCTGAGAGCAGCAGCAGCAGCAGCAGCAGCAGCAGCAGCGCCAGTCGCCTCGAAGAGATTGAGGCTGTGTCTTTGCCTCTGACTCATCTCCCGCTGCTGCACGTCTACACGAATATGCTGCTGTTTGGAAACGGCACCCACTTCATACACGGTCCTGCTGCTGCTGCTGCACTCATTTGCTGCTGCTGCTGCTGCTGCACTCATTTGCTGCTGCTGCTGCTGCTGCTGCTGGTACTGGTGTTCTTGCGTCTGTTACTGGGTTCACGCTAGCTATGGTGCTGCTGCGGGTTGCTACTGCTGCCGCTGCTGCTGGGTCTTGACTGCGTCTGAACTGTTGCTGCTGCTGCTGCTGTTGCTGCTGCTGCTGCAGAGGATGGGGGCACGGATCTGCGCAGCGCAGCAGATGCTTTTTCGCTGCTGACTGACAGCAGCAGCCGCCGCAGCAGCTGGCGCGGCGCTGCTGTGGAGAGGCTGCTGCTGCTGAGCTGCTGCTGCTGCTTCTGCTGCTGCTGCTGCACTGTTGCTGTGCTCGTGGCCAAACGAACAGTCCTCAGGGGCCTGCAGGCAGCAGGAAGCCTCAAGAGTCTTATCTTCCAGCACCCCAAGGCAGCAGCCTTTTGCGGTAAGCCAGCAGCAGCAGCAGCAGCAGCAGCAACGGCAGCAGCAGCAGCAGCAACGGCAGCAGCAGCAGCAGCACACGTTCGTGTGCGCGCGGGCCAATCCACTCAACCGCCGCCTTTGCCGCTGCGACCGCCGCCGCTGCGCTGCTGCTGCTGCTGCTGCTGCTGCTGCTGCTGCTGCTGCTGCTGCTGCTGCAGGGCTGCTGCTGCTGTTTCACTCCGTGGACTTGTGCCTCCGCATGCTTTCTTTGGGCCTGATCAGCGACAGCATTTTTGCCCCTTATAATTTCCTTGCTGTTTTCTTTTTGCAAGTAAGAGCTTTTTGTCTTTTCTCTTTTTGTTCTTTTTCCTTTTTGTGCCTTCTGCTGCTGCTGCAGCTGCTGCTGCTGCAGCAGCTGCTGCTTCCTGCTGCTCATTCTATCACCTTTTGTCTTTCTTGTCTCGTTCGTTTCTTTGCTTCCTCTCTATTCGTCCCTTTTGTCTGCTGCTGCCTCCTTTGTCTTATTTTTTCATGCTTGTGCTGCTGCTGCAGCCGCTATTGCTGCTGCAGTCACTTTTGCTGCTGCAGCATCTGTTGCTGCTGCTGCTGCTGCGTTTTTGTGGCTCCTGATTCTGCGTTTCCCTGCCCTCTCCTTACATCACCAGCCTCGTCCAGCTGCTGCTGCTGCCGCTGCTGCTGTTGCTGCAGTTGCTGCAGTTGTCGTTTCCTTTGCTGTTTTTCCTTCTGCTGCGCCTTTTGCTGCTGTTACTGTTTTTGCTGCTGCTGTTATTGTGGTTGCTTGTGTTTTGCTGTTGGTGGCAGTGGCACTGCTGCTTCAGTCTAGCTGCTGCTGCAGCTCTATTTAATGCTGCTGCTGCTGCTGCTGCTGCTGCTGCTGCTGCTACCTGCAGACTCTCTACGTGATTGTCTTTTTAAGTGTCTCCTTGAGCTTCCTTCCTTCTTTCCTCAAGGGGCTTTTTGCTGCTGCTGTTTCTCCCCTCCCTGTCCTCTTGGCCTCAGACGAAACTATGTAAGCAGCAGCAACAGCAGCAGCACAGCAGCAGCAGCAGCAGCAGCAGCAGCAGCAGCAGCAGCAGCAGCTCGCCTCAGCTACAGGCGTCCGTTTCCTTTTGTACTGGCGTTGCTGCTTTTCCCCTCTGCTACTGTAGCCCCTCCTCATTTATTATTTTATTATTTATTATTTATTTATTATTATTTTAATTTTATTTTTTTATTCATTTGTTTGTTTGTGCTGCTGCTCCTCCCCAGGTCCCGGCGTCGCCGCGCTGCTTCTGTTTTGCTGCTGCTGCGCTTCTTCGAGTTCTTTTTCATTTTCTTTTTGGGAGCCATTGCTTTCGACTCAGAAGCAGACGCCAGCCTCAGCACTGCTACGTAAGGCTCCCCTGGCTAGCCAGGTAGCTAGCTAGTTAGCTAGCTAGCTGTTAGCTAGCTCGCTGGCTGGCTAGTAGCTAGCTAGCTGCCTAGCCGACTAGCTGGCTACCTAACTACCTAACTAGCTACCTAGTTAGCTAGCTACCAAGCTAGCTACCTAGCTAGCTACTTAGATGGCTGCCTAGCTAGCTGACTAGCTAGCTACCTCACTAGCTAGCTAGCTAGCTAGGTATCTAGCTAGGTAGCTGGGCTTGGTCAGCTGAAGTGGCCTGGCTAGCTAAGCAGCTGTGGCTAGCTAGCTGGCTAGCTGGCTAAGGCGGGCTAGCTGGCTAAGGCTGGCTATCTGGCTGAGGCTGGCTAGCTGGCTAAGGCTGGCTAGCTGGCTGAGGCTGGCTAGCTAGCTAAGGGTGGCTAGCTGGCTGGCTACACCACCAGCGATGTAGCAGGCTACCTAGCTAGTCAGCTAGCTAGCTAGCTAGCTATCTAGCTAGCTAGCTAGCAAGACAGTTTACCAACTAGTTACCTCTATAGCTAGCTAGCTAGCCAAGTCTTTGACGGCTGTTCCCTGGTTTGTGTTTTTATCTGCGCATGTCGCTGAATTAGCTGCTGCTGCTGCTGTTGCTGCTGCTGCTAGCGGTTTCCCCTCATTGCGCATCTGCCAGCTTTCTTCCCGTTGCTGCCTTTCTTCGTGGCTGACTCATTTGCTGCACGCATCTGCTGCTGCTGTTGCTGCTGCAGGAATGTCGGGCTTACGCTGCTGCTGCTGAACGTTCTGGTGCTGCCGCTGGTGCTGCTGCTGCAGCGGCACTATACTGGGCTCGTGTCAGCGTGGCAGCAGCAGCAGCAGCAGCGCAGCCGCCGCGCCCACATCGGGATACGTTTGCTGCAGCTGCAGCAAGCGAGAAGCAGCAGCAACAGGAACAGCAGCAACGTGAGTGGCGCCGTTGAAGGGCAGCGCAGCAGCAGCACTAACGGGGCAGCAGCATCAGCAGCAACAGAACGTGCTGCTGCTGCTGATGCTGCTGCCGCCGTACCCATTCCATCATAGATGGTAGGCGTGTCTGCGCGATCTGGCAGCAGCTGGCAGCAGCAGCAGCAGCAGCTGCAGCAGCAACTGAGGAATCAGAAACTGTTAGTCAAGAAAGAGCAGCAAAAGCAGCATCTGCAATGCTGCAGCAGCTGCAATACTGCAGCAGTTGCAACACTGCTGCAGCAGCTGCAGCAGCAGCTGGTGCTGCTGCTGCTGCGTCCTGACAGGAAGCACCATCTTTTTCAAGAGCTTTTGTTCTTCTTTTTCCTTCTAGTCTTTCTCTTCGATTGTTGCATTTTCTTTTCCGCTCGCAAAAAGTAGCTAGCTAGCTTTAGCCAGCTAGCTAATGTAGGTAGCTAGCTAGCTTCGGCCAGCTAGCTAAAGTAGATAACTAACTTTACCAACTGAAGCAGCCAGCTGTCTTTAGCTAGCTAGCTGAGTAGCCAGCTAGCTCCAGCCAGCCACTTCAGCTAGCTAGCTGTCCTTAGCTAGCTAGCTGAAGTAGGCAGCACCCTGAGCTAGCTAGCTCCACACCTTGAGGCGCATGCGGCTAGCTAGCCGTGGCAAGCACTCCAAACTGCAGCAGCCACCTAGCTGGACACAGCTAGCCATCCCTGTAGGGGCAGCTAGCTAGCCAGCTAGGAGGCAGCTAGCTAGACAGCTAGCTGGACAACTAGATTGGCAGCTAGGTAGACAGCTAGGAGACAGCTAGCTAGACAGCCACGAGACAGAGAGCTGGACAGCTAGCTAGACAGCTAGCTGGACAGCTAGCTAGAGAGCTAAGAAGTAGCCAGCTTGTTAGCTAGCTAGCCACCTGAGAAACAGCTAGCTACCGTTCTTTTACTGTTTTACAAAACGCGCATTTACGCATGAAATAGTTCGCTGCCTCTGCTGCCTAACAGATGCAGCTGCGGCAACGGCAGCTACCGCAGCAAATGCAGCCGCGGCAGCTGTAAAAGCGGCAGCAGCTGCAGCAGCAGCTGCAGCAGAAGCTCCTGCCTCTGCTGCAGCAACGGCAGCAGCTAGCGCTTCTTCCGTTTGGGTGGGGGAAGTCGCCTGTGCCACTGCTGCGCCCCCGGGGTCCAGGTAAGTGTGGGGCCCCATTGCTGCTGCTGCTGCTGCTGTTGCTGCTGCTGCTGCTGCTGCTGCTGTTGCTGCTGCTGCAGCAGCTGTAACGGAATGTTGCAGTGTTCGGGCCCGTCTGCTGCTGCGTCAGAAGACTCGGCAGCAGGCGGAACCCTTACAACTCGCTTTCTCGTCGCTGCAGCAGCAGCAGCGGCTGCAGCAGCAGCTGCTGCTCCTCTGCTGCCTCCAGCCTGCCACACCCACTGAGCCACAGCATCTGCAGCAGCAAGCCGCCGTTTAGCAGCAGAAGCAGCACACCAAGATGCAATGAGGCGAGAAGAGGTCTCTTCCGGTCTCCGCAATGTGACTGCATTGCTGCTGCTGCTGGGGCTGCTGCTGCTGCTGCTGCTGCTGCTGCTGCTGCTGCTGCGGCGCCGGTGGCCCCTGAGAGCAGCGGCTTTGCGAAGCCCGCAGCACGGAAGGCTTGCCTCCGGTTCGCTCTCATTGCTGCTGCTGCTGTCGCTGCCGCTGCTGCTCTCGCTGCTGCTCTCGCTGCTGCTGCTGCTGCTGCTGCTGCTGCAGCGCAGCAGCAGCGGCCGCGGGCGGCTGCAGCAAGTCCTCTCCACGCGGCGAACTAAAGTTGTCCATGGAGACAAAAGAGACTCCGCGCTCTCTGGGCTGCAGCAAAGACACAGCCACTTGACGCCCCCGCAGCTATTTAGCTAGCTAGCTAGCTACCCAGCTAGCTAGCTAGCTAGCTAGCTGGCTAGCTGCAAACCTCTCTAGCTCGCTATTTATCCAGTCGGCTCATTGCCCACCTACCGAGCTGGCGAGCTAGCTAGCTAGCTACGGGCCCAGCTAGCTAGCTGGAGAAAGCTGGCTACCCAACTATCGAGCTAGCTAGCTACATGCCTAGTTAGCTAGCTAGCCAGCCAGCTAGTCAGCTAGCGAGCTACATGCCTAGCTTGCCATCTAGCTAGCTAGCTAGCCAGCTAGCTAGCTAGCTGCTAGGCATCGGGGCTCACCAGTAGACGAAAAGGCCCTTGTGAGTCCTCAAGCCCTCCAGAGACCCGCGCAGCATGCTGCTGCGGCGCCTTGGTTGCTGCTCCTGTCCGTCGTGCTGCTGCTGCTGCCACTTCTGCTGCTGCTGCTGCTGCTGCCGCGTGGTTGCTGCTGAGACGCTGCTGCCGACGCTGCTGCCGACGCTGCTGATGCTGCTGCTGGAGTGGTAGCCGTTGGTCGTTGCTGCTGCGGCAGCCTCCGCTGCAGCAGCGCCCGCAGCAGCAGCCAGCGAAGCATGCTGCTCCGTTGCTGCTGCTTTTGGACTGGTAGTGGCAGCAGCAGTAGCAGCAGCAGCAGCGTCTTCTTCTGCTGCTTCTGCTGCTGCTGCTGCTTCTGCTGCTGCAGCGCCCCTGCAGCAGAAAGGCGGCGCCAGGCCCCAGGCCTGGTGGGCCCCCTTGAGCTGCTGCCGGTGCTGCAGCACTGCAGCGTGGCGCTTGCTGCTGATCTGCTGCAGCAGCGCAGCAAAGTAAGCAGCAGCAAGACGCGGCGGCAGCAGCAGCTCCGTACTCAGCTGCTGCACTTGTGCATAAACAGCAGCATCACTAGCATCTAAAGACCACAGCAAACGGTCCTGCAGCCGCCAGCCGCTGCTGGGGTCGTTTGCTGTCACCTCCAGCACGCACTGCAGCTGCTGCTGCTGCTGTTGCTCGTGTTCCTGCTGCTGCTGCTGCTCGTGTTGCTGCGAGTGCTGCTGCTGCTCGTGTTGCTGCTCGTGCGAGTGCTGCTGCTGTTGGTGGTGCTGCTGCTCCCGTTGCTCGTGTTGCGGCTGCTGCTCGTGCTGCTGCTGTTGTTGTTGCTGCTGCTGCTGCTGCTGCGCGTCATCCCTCTTGTCGGTGGTTGCAGGCGCTGTGGCATTTGCTGCCGCAGCACCTAAATCGTGAGCACTACTGGAGCAGCAATTGTTGCTGCTGCTGCTGCTGCTGTTGCTGCTGCTGTTGCTGCTGCTGTGGCTCCTGCCGGTGTTGCTGCTGTTGCTGTTGCTGTTCATGCTGCTGCTGCTGTCGCTGCTGCCAATCTGTGCTGTATAACGCGAGTCTTCACACGCTGCTGCTGCGACGTGCTGCTGCTGCTGCTGCTGCGGCTGTGTTCGCTGTCCGTCGAGCCGCTGCTGCTTCTCAGCCTGCTGCAGCAGCTGCAGCAGCAGCGTGAAATCTGCCTCCCGCTCTTGTGCTGCAGCTAGCTGCTGCCGCAGGCTCGAGAGCAGCATCTGCAGCACGTCCACAGTGCAGCAACCAACAGAATCCTCTGCTGCTGCTGCTGCTGCAGCAGCGTTTCTTCGGTTGCAGCTGCTGTTGTTGCTGCTGCAGGCTGTCAAGCGACTTGGGGCACGCGCACTCTGCACTGACTGTTGCTGCTGCTGCTGCTGCTGCTGCTTCTGCTCAGCTAGCTGCACAGACAACGGGATGTTGTGGTCAGCTAGCCAGCTAGCTGCCAGGCCCTCCAGTGCGACACCAGAGTCGCAGATGTCCCACACGACGTCTTCTGCTGCTGGCAGCAAGCTGCTGCTGCTACTGCTGCTGCCGCTGCGGCTGCTTCTGCTGCTTCCGCCCGCAGCAGCAGCTCCTTCTGCTTCAAACGAAGCAACAGCAGCAGCAGCAGCAGCACTGGCTGCTGCTGCTGCTGTTGCTGCTGCGGCCTTTGACCGTCCCTGAGTTGTTTCGCTGCGCTGCGGCGCCTTCGGAGGGCTCACATCCGTAGCAGCAGCAGCAGCAGCAGCTGGCGTTGCTGCTGCTGCTGCCGCCGGTGCTGTTTCCAGGTGCCGCTGCAGCGCAGCAGCTGCTGCTGCGCCACAAGCAGCATGCAGGTCTAAACGCAGCACACAAATGCGGCGGTGCTGCGGCAGCAAATGAACTGCAGCAGGCAGCAGCAGGGGGTCCTCGAGGGCTCTCCAGTCCTTTGCTGCTGGCTGCTGCTGAAGCCGCTGCTGCTGCTGCTGCTGCTTCCACCGCAGCAGCCGCCGCTGCTGCTGCTGCTGCGTCCGCTGCGACAGCAGCCTAAACCTAGGCCTTGGCCGTGCTCGCTGCCTTCGCAGCTGCAGCAGCAGCGGCAGCTGCTGCGGGGGCCCCTGCAGCCAGCCCGCAGCAGGGGGCCCCTGCTGCAGCGGGACTGGCACAACAACTGGCTCAGGCAGCGACACGCCATCGTTTGCTGCTGCTACTGCTGTGTCTGCTGCTGCTGCTGCTGCTGCTGCTGCACTAAACATCGACGCGCCCGCAAGGCCATCCGAAAGTCCTAAAGGCGGGCTCTCGCACTCTGCTGCTGCTGCTGCTGCTGCTGCTGCAGACTCCGCGCATGCGGCAGAGGGCTGCTTCGCCGTTTGCTCCTCCTGCAGCAGCTGCTGCAGCAGCTGCTCTTGCTGCTGCAGCAACAGAGACAGCCTGTGCTGCTTCTCAGCAGCAGGAAAGGTGTAGCGCAGCAGCTGCAGCAGCGCCGGGACCCCCGGCAGGTCATCAGGGGCAGCAAATAGCTGTGAGACCTGTGCTGCTGCTAAATCCGGTGATGCTGCTGGTGCCAGTCAACGGCGTGAGGACACAGATATCGGGGGGCCTGAGGGTCTGCGGCAGCTTATTAGCTGCTGCTGCTGCTGCTGCAGTAGTAGCAGCAGCAGCAGCTGCTGCTGCTGCTGCATCCTCCGTCGACAAAAAAGAGGCCCCAGGGACCCACCCCAAGATCGTCTGCCCCAGGGAGCGGAGCGACAGCAACTGCTGTTGCTGCTGCTGCAGCTGCTGCAGCTGCTGCTGAAGCTGCTGCTGAAGCTGCTGCTGCAGCTGCTGCTCTTCCAGCTTGTTCGTCACGTTCCTCTGCGGCAGCAGCAGCCACATCTGTTGCTGCTGCTGCTGCTGCTGGCTCTGCACTGCAGCAACAGCCAAGTCAATCTCCTCCAGCAGCTGCTGCAGCTGCTGGGCCTTTGACGGCGGCAGCGGTGGGCAGGAACTGCCCGCTGCTGCTGAACCCCCTGCTGCTGCTGCTGCTGCTGCTGCGCGTGCTGCAGCAACTGCTGCTGCACCCGCAATAGTCTCGAGAGCATGCCGCGCATCCGCAACAGCTGCTGCTGCTACTCCGTAGTTCGGCAGCCACTGCGGCTTGAACTGGCCTGCTGCTGCTGCTGCTGCTGCTGGGTTTAGCCCTGCTACTGCTGCTGCTGCTGCTGCGGGGGGTATTGCTGCTGCGGGGGAAACTGCTGCTGCTGCAGCTCCGGGGAGTATTGCTGCTGCTGCTGCTGGATCTGCTGCAGCAACATGCGCAAATGCTGCTTCCGGCCCCTGAGAAGCAGAAACTGGCCGTAAAGAGCTGGAAGCACTTTGCTGCTGCTGCTGCTGCTGCTGCTGCTGATCCCGCGGGCTGCTGTGCATAGTGCGTACCGGGGCAGCAGCCTGCTGCCCAGCCGGAGACTTTGCTGCTGCTGCTGCTGCTGCTGGTGCTGCCGCTAACGAGGATGCAGCAGCACCTCCTGCTGAGCCTTCGTAGGGGCGCTGCTGCAGCTGACTCCGTCTCCGTTGCTGCTGCTGCTGCTGCTGCCGCTGCTGCAGAGGCGAGTGCTGCAGCTGCTGGTCCTGCAGCTCCAAAGGCCTTTGAGGCTGCGGCGGTATCTGCTGCTGCTGCTGCTGCTGCCCATGCTGCGAGTAATGAGTGTGAGCGGGGATATGCTGCATGTAGGGCTGTTGCTGCAAGTGCTGCAGTGGCTGTTGCTGCAGCGGCTGCTGCTGCAGTGGCGGCTGCTGCAGCGGCTGCTGCTGCAACGGCTGCTGCTGCAGCGGTTGCTGCTGCAGTAGCTGCTGGTGCAGATGTGGCTGCTGCGGTTGTGGCTGCTCCAGCAGCAGCCGCTGCTGGTGCTGCTGAATCCGTTGGTCCTGCATGTCGCCGCCTTTGCTGCAGCGCCGCAGCAGCACCCTCTTTGCTGCTGCTGCCTCCACCGCTGCTGCTAGAGTTGCTGTTGCTGCTTCATTGGGTTGACTGGGGAAAGCCTAAAAAGGACAAAGAGTCAGCAGCGAAGACGGCAGCTGCAGCAGCAGCAGCGGCGAAGAGTTCGCCTGCTGCTGCCTGCAGCTCTTTTTGCCCGGTGCTGCTAGCGACGGTGAGATGGCGCCTGCTGCTGCTGCTGCTGCTGCTGCTGCTGCGGTTCTTTTTGATGCTACTGCTGCTGCTGCCTTAGTTCTGTGCTTGTACGCCTAGAGAGAAGGCTGAGACCGGTGGGGCCGTCGGCCCTGGCTGCTGCTGCTGCTGCTGCTGCCAGTGTCCCTGCTGCTGTTGCTGTTTCTGTTGCCCTCTGCGCTCCTGCTGCTGCTGCCAAGGCCAGAGAATGGCCTTAAATCCCGCTGCTGTAAGTGCTGCCTTCAGTCTACGGGCGCATGCAGCAGAGCAGAGCATTTGCCGCTGCTGCTGCTGTTGTTGCTGCTCCGTGTAGGGAGCCTCGCTTCGCTGTTGCTGCTGCTTGCAGCTGCAAGCAGCAAAAAGCTTAACTAGAAAAAAAGGATGAGATTTGTTTATTCAATTGTTCATATCCTAGGGCCGTAGCAGCAGTAGCAGCAGCCCCGTCAGCAGCAAGCCCTACGCCGTGAGGCAGCAAGGACCTCTGCGCAAAGTTGCAGCAGCCGCAGCAGCAGCAGCAGCAACAGCCACCGCGAGACTGCTGCCTCTGGAGGCCCCGCTTTCTATTTCTCATTATTATTACAATTATTATTATTTTTCCAATTCATTTTGTCTTTAAGCAATTAGCAGCAGCAACCTCGAGTATACCCGCCGCAGCGCCCCTGCAGCTGTCGGCATAGGAATGGCACTGGCAGATACCTACCGCAACTCCAGGAACTTTAGATTTTATTTTAATTTGTTCAGATTTATTCTAAATGATTTAACTTAGTTCTATTATCTTAGTTGATCCATGGGCAGCTAGCGCCACAGCCACCCTAGCTCGAGCCGACCCTTCCCGCTGCAGGCAGCAGACTCGGGCTTTTCTAGCTAGCTGCAGCTAGCCACAGCAGCTAGCTGCAGGTGACTGGAGCTAGCAGCTAGCTAGCTGCATGAACAAGGGGCCAGTGGCAGCCCAACCACAAAGGCAGATCTACTTTTAAAGACAGCATCTAAAAGCAGCAATTAGAGGCAGGTCTTTCTGGCTTTTAGAATTGCTGCTCCATTGTTGAGCAAAAGCAGCAGCAGAAGCTGCCTCTGTGGGCACAAGAAGCGGCGACTTCTGCAGCAGCAGCGCAAACGGTGCGCTGCAGCAGCACTCGAGCGCCGCTGCAGCAGAGCTGCTGCACTGCAGCTGCTGCAGTGCAGCAGCAGCAGCTGTGTGTGCCTGTGGGGTCGTCCGGCATTGGGTGTTTGCGTATGTTGGATTTCTTTTTGTGTCTTCCAGGGAGCAGCAGCTTACTGGCTTTGCTGCAGCTCGTTTTGCTGCTGCAACATTTGCTGCTGCTCTCCAGCTCTAGACGCTGCTTTCTTCCCATTTAATTCAAAAGAGAAGAAATAAGGCAGCAGCTGCTGCTGCTTTCGCGCTGCTGCTGTCTGAGGCAGCAGAAGTGCAGAGCAGCAGCAGCTTACTGCCTCTTTTCATCCGCACTTGTGGTGTATAGACAGCTGCATCGGCTGTAACGGCAGCTGCAGCACTGCAGCTGCTGCAGCTGCTGCTGCTGCAGCAGCAGCTGCAGCACTGCAGCTCTCTCCTGTTTAAACCTTCCTGGTTTGCTGCTGCTGCCCGCTTCTGTCAGTTATCATGTTTTTAAAAAGTGCCAAAGCTGCATCAGCTGCTGCAGCAAAGCCTTTCTGGCAGCAGCTAGAGAGTGAAGACACGCAGCAGCAGATAGTCAGACAGCAGCAGCACCCGCAGCTAGCTACAGCTAGCCACGGACTAGTTAGCTTAGGTGGCTAGCTGGCTGCAGGGCGCCACTCTCGCTACCTAGCGACGCTGCTGCTGCTGCTGCTGCTGCTGCTGCTGCTGCTGCTCACGACCATTTGCTGCGGGGCTACTGTTGCTGCTAAAGTACCACGCTGCTGCTGCTACTTTCGCTACTATAAGCCTGAAGCAGCCGCAGCAAGACAGTGCATCAGCTGCAAAGTGCAACGGCAGAAAAGCGCAGCAGCTGCGAACCGCAGCAGCAGCAAACGCAGCAGCAGCAAACGGAACATCAGCTGCTAATTCAAACAATGGAGTGTTCGCGCAGCTCGCCCCCAAAATCTTCAAGAACCGGCAGCTGCAGCGAGCAGCGGCGCTGCTGCTGCTGCTGCTGCTGCAGCAGCAGCAAGAAACACAGCCCTACGCCACAACGGTGCAACAGAACCGCCCACAAAGCAGAGCTGTGTGCAGCAGCAGCAGCCACAGCTGCCGCTGTTGCAGCACCGCTGCTGCTGTCGCTGCTGCTGCTGTCGCTGCTGCAGCTGCTGTCAACAACAGCAGCCGGCGCCCCAGCTGCAGCAGCTGCATCTTTCGCCGCAGCACAGCCGCAGCTGCTGCTGCTGCTGCACCTGTCGCTGCAGGGCAGCTGCTGCGGGTGCAGCCGCGCTGCAGCACAGCCGCAGCAGCAGCTCCTGCCGCTGCTGCTGTTCCAGCTTCTGCGGCTATCACTTGGGCAGCTGCAGCGTGCATAACAGCTGCTGCGGATGCGAAAGCTCCCGCTGCTGCTGTAGCAGCTGCTACTGCTACAGCAGCCACTACTGAGCTGCTGCTGTTGCGGCTGCTGCTGCTGCATCTGCTGCTGCTGCATCTGCTGCTGTTGCAGCTGCCGCAGAAGATGCAGCATGCTCCACTACTGCGGCCGCTTTCCAGGGATATTTGACTACAGAAGAAGAGCAGCAGCAAAGCTAGGTTAGGTCAGCAGCAGCAGCAACGACAGCAGCAGCAGCAGCAGGGCTACCCTGGCTCTCCCCTACTCCTGGCGAGTTCCGCAGAGACTCTAACGAAAGCAGACTGCAGCAAATCAGCAAAGGAGTTCCTCATGCTGCTACAGTCTGCTGCAACTGCGTGCGCTACTGCTGCTGCTCCCGCATCCTCGTGCTGCTGCTGCTGCTGCTGCTGCTTCAGCAGCCGCCTGTGCTGCAGCTGCTGCACGCGCTGCAGCAGCTGCAGCACTCGCCGTTTCGCCGCTTCGGGTGTGTACGCAGCTACATTAGGCGGGGCACTGAGGGGCCTCGATGAGAACCCCTGAGGCACTAAATGCTGCAGCAGCTCAAAAGCGTGCTCCTGCTGCTGCTGCTGCTGCTGCTGCTTCCTGCTGCTGCTACGGCGGGAGCTCCCACGGGGCGAGGTCTTCGTCTCTGCAGCAAAACGCACTCTGTGCTTTTCTTTGGCTTCCGCGGGTTCAGCCTGCGGCCGCTGCTGCTGTTGCTGCTGTTGTTCCTGCTTCTGTTGCTGCTGCTGCTGCTGCTGCTGCTGCTGCTGCTGCTGCTGCAGCTCTCCCGAAGGCGCTTCCGCAGCAGCGTCGCTGCCGAAGAGCTGCTGGAGGGCGTGCAGCTCCTTTTGCACGTCCACCTCGTCCGGCGCTGCAGCAGCAGCAGCAGCAGCAGCAGCAGCAGTGTTGGCCGCGCGTTGCGTTGGTGGAGGCGCGGCGTTGCTGCTGCGTCTGGGCGGCTTGTCCGTGTGCGCCTCGTCGGCGCTGCTGCTGCTGCTGGTGGTGCTGCTGCTGCTGTCCGCGCCGCTGCCGCTGGAGTCGGCGCCGGAGGGCTGGCTGCTGCTGTCGCTGTCGCTTCTGCTGCTGCTGCTGCTGCTGGGGCTGCGGCTGCTGCTGCTGGCGGCGGGTGCGCGGCGGAGGGGCGGGCGGTCGCGGGGGCGCTTGCGGGGGGGCGGGCTGCGGCGCTGCTGCT